AAATGCGTGTTCACGATTTTCTTTGGTTTCAAAATGCCTGGCAGTTGCGATCAGTTGCACTATGCGGCCGTGCACCCTCTTTTGTTTCCAACGTAGGCTACCTATATACTTTAAAGGTTTTCTTTATTCTACTTAAAGCCAGAAGAAGCGTGTTAATCAAATTTAGCACTCTGCAACGAGAATCCCCGCAGAGTTGTGTAGATTTAAGTAGACCCATTCTGTCTATGGAAATGTACGTTTAAGTTAATGAAAATGGACTGTGTAATGCCAAGATTATTTCACAATTTACAATGATCACAGTAAAATCTTAAATTTCAAGGAACTTTGAGGAAATAGTAGGTCTATGCCTACTTCGAATCAACATCATCACCATCAAAGCAAAGTCTATACGTCCACCCAGGGCATCATATCGTAGACGACATATACTTCCATGGTCCATCCAAGCTTTGATATCTGCTCTCCATTTCACAGGGTCTTCATTTCGCCAGCCTGCCTCCCATATGTTGTAACGTATTCATTCCTTGATATCATGCTTCCCAAGTCCTCATCAGCCTCCCTTGACATCTTTTTTCGTCGCAGCAGCCTTGAATAAGAACATTTGGCAATTAATCTCTATTTGGTGTCCGCAGAACCTTACCTTTCTCTCCAAGGTGGCATTTATATAATGATTAGAGGGATATTACAGTCCTCAAATTTGCTCCCGATTTTGCTCCGCACATCAGGCCCATAGCCGGGTGGGGGGGGGGGGGGGGGCGGGGGGGTCCGAAAAANCGTATTCATTCCTTGATATCATGCTTCCTAAGTCCTCATCAGTCTCCCTTGACATTTTTTTTTCGTCGCAGCAGCCTTGAATAAGAACATATGGCAATTTATCTCTATTTGGTGTCCGAAGAACTTTACCTTTCTCTCCAAGGTGGCATTTATAAGATGATTAGAGGGATATTACAGTCCTCAAATTTGCTCCCGATTTTGCTCCACACATCAGGCCCATAGCCGGGGGGGAGGGGGGTTCGAAAGAACCCCCCTTTTTGCTGGAAAATGGTCCACTTTGGGTAAAATTTGACCTAGGTACATGGGGATTATATGGGAAAAGGTCCACTTTTTCAGAAAAAGAACCCCCCCCCCTTTGAAATTGCTGGCTACGGGCCTTGTAAAATGATTAGAGGGATATTACAGTCCTCAAATTTGCTCCCGATTTTGCTCCACACATCAGGCCCATAGCCGGAGGGGGGGGGGTCGGGGGGTCAAAAGAATCACCCTTTTTGCTGGGAAAAAGTCCGCTGTGTAAAATTTGATCTTGGTACATGCTGCAGTTTTTATATTAAAAGGTCCACTTGTTTTCAGAAAAAGACCCCCACCCGCCACCTTTGGAATTTCTGGCTTCGGTCATGCACATAGTCATTTGTTCCTTTTCACTCCAGCTGATACCCAGCAGTCTCCTGTAGCTCTTACATACAAAAGCCATGATCATTTATTCATTTTTTTCTAACAATGTCCAACTCTCGCACCCGTAGGCCAGCATTCAAATGCCTTTCACTATTAGTTCTTTTACAGTTTCATTTTCGTTTCATTTTGTTCACTTTTCAGCTCATTATTTGGAACTTGTATAAGTATATTAAATGGATTTATTACAACATTCTATCCAGTTTAGCCAATGCACTCTAAATTTTTGTCCGCGTCTTTTTTAACACTTGTCGCATCTTCCGAGCGGTAGCCGTTAAGCTTGAATTCCTTGACATGTCCTAGGTCTCGTCCGTAAAGTTGTACTTTCAGGTGTTCATGAATGCCTTTTCCTATAATCATAACTTCACACAGAATGAGCTGGTCAAAGGTACCAGCATCAATAAAGTGAAGGTCTACTGTTACCAGAAATGTCAGAGCTTCGTCTAACACGAAAATCTAATGGTATTAATTTCTGATGTCGCGGCTTGATTACGGGTCGGAATGACAAACTTCAACTTCAGCTGTTTTATTTACATATCCGCATCAACAAAGACCTTAAATAATAGTCAGGCCTAATAATACACTTTAAACGTATGCTCAGCTAATTATTAACAAAGTCTACAGATATAATTTTAATTTATGCCAGTAAAATGTTATAAACAAGTTTGTAAAGTAATGTAAGAAGATAACGCAATTCAGGCGGAATGCGCCGAGAGTCTCGTAATATATACCCTCTACCAGGGCGACAGATCAATTTCGCAGATATTCCTCTAAATAAATAGACAGTTATTTGGCTGTGTCATGGATTTTTTCGTTTTTCCTTACATAATCTGCCGCCCTGGTAGAGGGTACTTAAAGATGCATACAAAGTCAATTTTTTGTCACAAATCTAACCAAATGCCAGCATATACATGTAGTTTCAAGTAGTATAACTAATAGAATTACCAAAAGGCATTGTTTAATTTTACCCGAAAATGATGTTTGAACGGATTTTTCTGCTGGCATTCTAAGCTGTTTGTCAATGGGACAGGAAAGTAGGTCACGAAAGTAGGTTAAATTTACAACCAGAAATTTAAAGAAAGGAGCAGTCTAAAGGTCTTTTATGGCTGATCGAGTGATCTATTCAGTTTATCCCTTGGCATGTCGAATTTATTTGAGTCATATAAGAATCTAGTAGAAGTGGTTTACATGTGTTACTGGGAATCCACGCTCCACCGATGCTCGGTTCGTATGTACCTTTAATATCCATGCATACAAAAATGAGTGACACAAGTAACATCATACGTTGCATTTAACGATGTACAATCTCAACTACCGCATTCACCTACCCACAGCAAAAGCTTTGCACAGATTTCGTCATTCCTGTCACTTCAGCTTAATAACACATTGGCAAATCCTAAATGCATAGAGAAGCACGTCTTAACCCCATTTACATGGTATTTAAACACATACGTAACATATAAAGGCTAAGCAATTATAAATTACTATCGGTGCACCAAAATAGAGCGAGAACGCGACGCTGCAATGCCATCTAACCACAACCGTACCAGTGACCTACTTAAACATGACCTAGGAAGATTTATGACATGAATATTTTGAGCTCTTCTGTTCTAGCAAAAGCAAACGGATTTATTGCAATATAATGAAACAGCTTGTAAAATATTTCGATTAGCATAAGACAACAAACAAGACAAGCAAAAGAGAGCACACAAAACTGTTACATTGACAGCGCGAGTAGAAAACTCACATACAGGTACATGTAGTTACTATTTACGTAGAACTTGATAAATAGCGCAATTCTTAGAAATCTGTCAAATCTCCTAGAAAAATATACAAGTAAACTCCCGTAACTTATTCTAAACAGGTAATAAGCAACAAATCCTAAATAATACTTGGCAACATATAGGCTACTTTACATATCGATACTAATTAAATTAATACAAGGTACAATAAGATCACACTCAACTCAATAGCCGATTAACGATCAAAAGTGGCTTTCACAAAGATCGCTACGGTAGCAGTTAAAGCTTTTCTTGCGCACTCAATCTTTAAAAAACCTAAACCACGGTTATAAATTCATTTTAGAACTTACCAACAGAATAAATCGCTTGCTTCATTGACTCCTACAGTGAAATTACGGCGATGCATCTTCCTAGAACTAGACCGGCGTGTAACCTGTAGGTACCGTGTGAGCAAGTGACGAACATGCATTCTAAGAGTAACTTACCAATATCGGGGTTCCTGGCCAAAACTGCATGTAAGATCCGCATAATACCCCTCACCAGATCGATCACGCCATTTAATAATCTCTGTAACATGGGGGTTACTGGCCAACGAAGTCCAGCCGATACCCCTCACGAGACTGAACACGTTACTACCCGCTATGCAATAATTTGACCTAAATACAGTGACAGCAATGGGGCTAGCACAGACGAGTCTACAAATACACAGAGGGGGTTACAGATCTACTCGTAGTGAATTTTACATTATTATCCTGGAAATAATAAAAATGTAGGGTGATGTGTTTAAATATGTTAAATTACCGGTACGTAGGCATATGGTGTGTAAGTTGCTCTCACAATTACAAAATGTCTCGATCTATATGTACTGTAACGATTTTACATAGCCTTAAAATTCATGGTAAAATTGCTGCAGTAAGCTTTAGCCTTTTGTTTACATTCTTGTGTGTGTTGAACTTTGAACCTTAAGTTGGAATGGCTTGTAAGTGGTATCAGTTTACTAAAGAGGTGATTGTGGTGTCCAGTAGAGGGGTTGGCGGTCAACCATTCAAGGCCGTCCACTTTTCCTCTGGCTGCCAGTCAGAGTAGCAGTGAACCATTCAAGGTCGTCCACTTTTGAAACCTATAAATACAGCTGCTCTACGCAGTGTTGGCCAGTTAGAGTTCAGTTAGAGTTACTGTAGAGTATAGTGGCAGTACTCAGTGAGAGTATAGTGTCAGACTTAGTTTCACAACTTAGTTTGAGTCAGTTTCACAATATAGTTCCAGTTAGTTTATTGTAGCTGAGTTGCAGTTGTTTAAATTAGAAGTACAGCAGTACAGCAAGAATAGAGACAGTGTTTAGTAAAAGATACAGAAACATGTACATTTGTGTTGAGAGTTATTCGTAGAAATAAAGTTTACAAAACAGAGACCTTGTTTTGTTGGTGGCAGCGAAGTAAGAGAACCGTACACTGGTGGCAGAAAAACGGAGACCTTTACAGTACCAATACTTAAAGGTACATACGAACCGAGCATCGGTGGAGCGTGGATTCCAAGTAACACATGTAAACCACTTCTACAAGCTTCTTATATGACTCAAATAAATTCGACATGCCAAGGGATAAACTGAATAGATCACTCGATCAGCCATAAAAGACGTTTAGACTGCTCCTTTCTTTAAATTTTTGGTCGTAAATTTAACCTACTTTCGTGACCTACTTTCCTGCCCCATTGACATACAGCTTAGAATGCCAGCAGAAAAATCGGTTCAAACATCATTTTCGGGTAAAACTAAACAATGCCTTTTGGTAATTATCTTGGTTATACTACTTGAAACTATATGCTGGCATTTGGTTGGTTTTTGTGACAAAAAATTGACTTTGTATGCATCTTTAATGGATGCGTTACATTCCATGTTGGGTGGGTTATTTGATTGACTAAACAAAACTATTAAAACTACTAATAAATAGGAGTCAAATATATATAAGTTAGGCCTGTAGGCTAGTAGGCCCTTATCGCTGTAGGCAAGACCTAAGCCTCCGCAATCCTATCGCTCAGATATATACATGTACAAAAATAATTTCCTTTAATTTTAAACGATTTTAATGTTCAAATTTACTTTTTCAACTTATACCTTGCCAGTAAAGTAAACAAACCTAACATAAGGTAAGAGAGAAAGCCTATATCCGAAACATATGTCGTCTGTATTCCCGTCACCTTCAGGAAAATTGGGGGTTTTCTCTCTTCAAAAGATGTTATGACTAAAACATCAATTTCACCACCTTTTTTGTTTTGGCTACTGAACTTGAGACCCGAAAGAACAAAGTTCCAAACGGCGCCCTCGCCCTCCCCATAAAATTCATCAGATTTATTAGGATGAAGCACCCACTGTCCTAGCGGTCCATAAAACATGCGGAGAAACGGCTCTGTGGCGTTATGTACTACAGTGACGGTGCCAAATACAGGGTGATGATATTGCCCAGCATAATTGTTGAGTGGTCTTGTTCCTGCTCCAACTGTATCCGGGGTTTTGTTCACTCCAGACTTGGGGATGTGTTGCCACTGAGCGAATGGCGCGGGAAATGAGCAAATCGTGGAGCTGTTCAGCCATGGTCTCTCTTCCAAAACGACGTCCAACAAGTGCGCCATCAACACGTGCCTTCGCAAGTGAGGCCTGTCGTTTGCGTTGAAATTCAAATATATGCCACTCTGTTTTGATGGAATAAATGCGAGAATGGAAGAAAATCCGTGAGTTGACCCGGTGTGCGCCACTATAGGGTATCCTAAAACGAGGAATGGGAATAAATATATATATAAACCCCTAACCGTTTTTTTCCATATCTCATGCTGTCACAATTCCATTAAATTATCTCCTTCTAGCAAATATTAAAAATTTACCTGTCTCTGTTACGAGAACAATTAGGTGACAGAGTATAATAACTTTAATATAATTCTAGGTCCCACTTGTTTAGTGCGTCTTAGGCCCGATTCCATAGACACCATCGATCGGTCTACGTGAATCGACCCAATCCTTTGGGGACTCTTGCTGAGTACAATCAGGTAAATATGTTAACACTTCTCGCCTTGGTCTAATTAATGTATTATACAAAAAAGTTGTAGTAGAGTTGATTGCACTTAACGAGAGTCCCTGCAGAGTTGGATCGATCTATCGGTACGTGGGCCTGTGGTGTGTCTATATGGGAATGGGGTCCTTGTATAAACGGTCATATACTAGTAGGTTCCAGGTGTATAATAAAAGTCCACTGTGCGTTCAGGCATAGATTTAGTAAAAAATACAAAGAATTAAGGCAGCATTACATGGGCATCAGTCCCTTTTCATGGTCTTAAGAGAGGTAGAGGACTATGCGCACATGGAAGACTTGATTAAAATGATAATGAAATAACCGAAAGAATATTTTCAAACATCTTTCTTCATCAACCACAAAGAAAGAAAGAAAGAAAGAAAGAAAGGAAGGAAGGAATTAACAAACAAACAAACAAACAATTATTTAATTAATAAAGTAAATGGAAAATAATTAAAATCACTTATTATGACTGAAAAGTGCCAGCCAAACTTCTTGTACCTCGGTAATGGCCACTTTTCCAAGCACAGCCATATTCTTCAAAAAGCAATGTGACCGGAGTAGTGGGCCGGACTGTTAGTTTGTTGCGGGGATGAAGTGCTAGAATCACTGGTCTGTAAACTTCTGCAAGGGCTTTCTTCGAAACTACTTGAAGGCCGCCCTCCGCCTTGCCTTCGTTAAGTTGAAACAGTAGCCATTTCCCCATGTCTATTGCATCGGAAACGATAGCCATTGATGGGGGATTCATTGACCATAATCTGTAAAATGAAGCAAAAAAATATAATCAGGATTTTTGTTCGTTTGCATTAACATGTATACCAATAATGAATACACAAAATGAAAGACCTGTTCTGAATTTCATGTTAAATAAGAACAAAAAAAAAAGAAGTATTGAACTTGACCCTCAAATCAAAGAGCACTTACTTCAAGATATCAGTTGATATTTCTCGACGTGCATCAGGTTTGTCATAGGGAAAATGGTAAGGTGTCGGCAGATGAAATTGTTCATAATTGGTGGAGTTGAGAACGGCGGTATTGAGCATGCGTAATGGTGTCAACAACTCGTCCTGCACGGCATCTGCCCAGCGTTTCCCGGTCAGACGTTGTGTCACGTGACCAACTAGGCCATACATGAGGTTGTTGTACAGGAATTTGCTTCTGAGAGGATAGCCTGCTTCGAAATCCGGTAGGTGTCTAAAAAACAAAGCATACAAACACGAATAAATAACCGATGTGATTTAAAAAAAAGCAAGTGCGCATTTTTAAAATTTATACAAGTATTGAATATTGTATTTGCCCAAGTCACTGAATAACGCGTATCTACATTACATGTACACTATCTATTTATCTAAATGATTTATTTATCTATATATCAATTGAACGATTTTTAACTAAAAGACATTACAAGTAGACTATTTATCTAAATGACTGAGATATCAAATGAACGTTTTATAACTAAAATAACTTCCAACTTTTGAGATCTTAAAAGTACGTCTGATAACCAGATTCTTCAAATAAGTACAGCGTGTTGCGTCAATTAAACCTGAAACTCAGAATCTTAACCCCCTCAGGGTTCTGTTTTTGTTTCATCGAATGCTAATTTCCCTCATAAAATGTACAAACATACAAATAAATAATAAACAAATAATATCAGATAGCTTATCAGAATAAAGTTTATATGTCTGGACTGCTCTTATTCTGACTTACTCAGCAAGGTTGTCTAACGTTATTTCTCCATTCAGTCTGGCCTTGTCGTAGTTGAGAATGCCCGTCCTGTGACTGAGAAGGTCCCGAGCTGTGACATGTGACGTCAGTTCTTCCGTCGAAAATTTCAAATCGCGCAGTCCTTCCACTGACGTCAGCGGTGTGTCTAAGTGAAGTCTGAGGGGAAAAATCGCATGTGTTGTTCAGTGATGCTCATTATTAATTTTGAAGTCAGGGGAAAATCTTAATAAAGAAGTCCTATATGTTAGTGGTTTCAGCCCTCAGGCAAGAAATACCAATCTTTCACTAAATCTTCGATCGTAGCCGATTTCTTTAGTCTAGTTTGAAGGAATGACATACAAAATGTTAGGAAAAAAGCTACAGCAAAATACCACCAACAATTTCTGTACAACAGAAGGATTGATAAACGAATTCCATGTACCTGAAATAACTCGCCCTGCACAAACCGAAATCAATGTTACTAAAATGCACTACGAACATAATGTGAAGTTAAAGCCTACTTACATATACCAAATTACGAACAAATCGCTTTCATTCTTACCCCATTCTATATAATTCTTTCGATAGCAAAGTAGCAGCGAATGCTTTCGTCAATGAGCCTATATCAAATAGTGTAGTGTTTTTAACAGGTTCGCGGCTGAATTCGTCCTTTACGCCGTAGCCCTTCGCCAAAATGATACGTCCATTTTTCACCAGAGCCAACGACAATCCTGGGATGTTAAAGCAGGACAGAACGTCCATTATCAAGGCGTCTAATGCAGTTTCTTCGTTCGAGGACCATTGCACGCTGGTGCACGGAGCTGTAATGCAAATAGATATATATCTAATTAGTAAAGTAGTGAAAGTCATCACCTACTAGTAGTTTTTTTATTACTGTAGAAACTAAAGTAGTGTCTAATAAGCGTTACAATGGGACATTCCGGCAATTTTTGTTTGTAGGTGTTAGTGTCCCTTGCCACCGTGGCCTTTCCTTTGTCTGCAGGTAGCGTCATTATATTTCCTCATTACACTATATGTTAGAACTGGGGAGCTTGCTTTGCGCGAAATTACTATTCACATGACCAAGACCCCTACAAGTGTGTGACTCTCTTTATTTGGACAAGAATGACTTTGTTTTATCATCTTATCTAGAGACCACGAGAAATGTTTTCACGGTGTATTTTTAAAATGATACGATTAAGCAAAACCAAGTATGAAACGTTATTTCTAAATATCTATTAAAACAATAAGAATAATAAGACAAAAAAAATTTAAATAATTTTGTCAATGGTGTCCGATATAAATATCTTCCCGATTTAGGAAAACAATTTTAGATACTCATACCTTTTATCAAAGACTAAAGTGTGTGACTTTATCGAGAGAAAACTGACCGATGTCAGCTACTCTACAACAACCGTGCGATCACTTTGTCGCAGATCAAACTGTCACAAATTTTAAATCTGAGCAGTATCATGCAATCTGATTAGCTCCCCTACAAGTCACAATACTGGGTCTTAAACAAGATGACGTGAGAACGAAGATAATACCTGTGAAAACTAGCATCAATGCCCAAAGACACTTCATCGCGCTATTTACTGTTCTTCCTTTCTGCTCCGATCGAATGTCTTCCTGATAAATCAGTCAACTATGACTTGGACTGCGCATGCGCTCACACCGACCAACATGAACGATACACAATGGAGCGTGTAGTTCTAATTCAGCCTTTATTGAAAATGACCTAAGTGGGTCAATCAGACGAACAAATGTCGTGCAATTCACCTGCTGGTTATTTTCGCTGAATGTATTATTTACCAGGGAATAATTGTTGCTGAGTAAATTAGGCGACTACGGTAAATCGAGTTATCAAATATTAATCAAGATAAGGCTCTTTTCAAATAATTGATAGAGGCACTTTTCATGAATTGTTATCCGTACTAGTTACCACAGGAGTCGTCCGTTTTACAGGGGTGGACCCAGGATTATTTTAAGGGGGGGGGGGGGGGGGGCCCGGGGGGGGGAAGCCGACCCCCCCCCCCCCCCCCTGGGGGGGGGGGGGGGGGCCCCCCAAAAC